GGAGAGGGAGGTGTAGGGGGGAGAGGGAGGTGTAGGGGGGAGAGGGAGGGGAGGTGTAGGGGGGAGAGGGAGGTGTAGGGGGGAGAGGGAGGTGTAGGGGAGGGAGAGGGAGGTGTAGGGGGGGAGGGAGGTGTAGGGGAGGGAGGGAGGTGTAGGGGAGGGAGGTGAGGGAGGGAGGGAGGGGAGGGAGGGGGGAGGGAGGGAGGGGGAGAGGGAGGGGAGAGGGAGAGGGAGAGGGAGAGGGAGAGAGAGAGAGGTGTGTGTGAATGAATTTTGGGATATGTTGAGTGTTCAGGAAGTCTTAAATCGAGATAGAAATTGTGGTAGGAGATCCGAATATTAAAGTGGAAGAAATAGATGTAGAGGGTGTGGTAGGTTAGTTTGGGGGTGCCAGGGATAAATGATAATGGGAGGCCTTTTCTTGAACTTTGTACAGAAAGTAGTTTGGTAACAGTACATATTTTAAGAAAAAGAGGATAAATAAGAACGAAATATGGTATAGGGCGTAATGTCAGTAGTTTGTTAAATGTATTGGTAGATAAAAAGAGTGATGGGTAGGCTTCAGTATGTGCATGTTTATAAGGGGGGCACAGATATATCAATCATTTTTTAGTTGTAGCTACAGTGAGAGTAAAAGGTAGATGGAATACAAAAAAATGGTATCAGAAAGTAAGAGAGAGGTGAAGGTTTATAAATTAGATGAGGAGTCAGAGGAAGATATAAACAACTACTGGAAGAAAGATGGGCTAGTGAGAGTATAGGGAATGAGGTTGAAAAGGTATGGGGTAGATTTAAGAATTTAGTGTCTGTGTTCAACAGAAATGTGTGGTTACAGGAAAGTGGGTGCGGGAAGGAAGAAGAACGACTGGTGGAATGATGAGGTAGAGAGAGTAGTATGAGAGAAAAAGTTAACATGAGAGGTTTTTACAAAGTAGAAGTGAAATAAGGAGAGAAAATGAGAGAGTGGTTGAGATGCTATCAACATTTTTTGCTGACAATAAAGGTAGTAGGTTGGTAGACAGCAACCACCCAGGGAAGTACTACCATCCTGCCAGATGACTGTGAAACAGAAACCTATAACTGTTTTGCATGATGGTAGGATTGCTGGTTTCTTTTTCTGTCTCATAAACACGCTAGATAACAGGGATATCTTGCTACTCCTACTTACACTTTGGTCACACTTCACAGACATGCACATGCATATATATATATATACATACATCTAGGTTTTTCTCCTTTTTCTAAATAGCTCTTGTTCTTCTTTATTTCTTCTATTGTCCATGGGGAAGTGGAAAAGAATCTTTCCTCCGTAAGCCATGCGTGTCGTATGAGGCGACTAAAATGCCGGGAGCAATGGGCTAGTAACCCCTTCTCCTGTAGACATTTACTAAAAAAGAGAAGAAGAAAAACTTTATAAAACTGGGATGCTTGAATGTGCGTGGATGTAGTGCGGATGACAAGAAACAGATGATTGCTGATGTTATGAATGAAAAGAAGTTGGAGAGAGAAAATGAGAGAATGAGAGAGAGAGAATGAATGAATACTCCACTTTCTTGGTTTGCCTGCCCCCCCTCTCATCTGCGACTGCTTGACAGAGTAGAGAACAGAGCAAGATGTCTTATCTCTCGCCTGGACCCATCCTGGATAGATCTGTCATTTCAGCAGAGCCTTCAACATAGGCGGGATATGGGTGGCCTTACTGTTATGTACAAGGCCAATATTGTCAAAGTACCACACTTGGATCCACTTTGAGGACAGCGTGAAACAAGCTTTTATGCCACAAGACGAGCAGAGAGCAGCAACTTCATTCTGACTGTACCCTTCTCCAGAACATCACTCCATCTGAGATCATATATACCCAGGATGACTCGAGTATGGAACACATTCATACAGCATAATGATGTCAATGAGATAAAGTCAGTTATCAAATGAAAATGCTGGCCCACAGATGGTTCCAACTTCATCCTGTTCCCTACTTGTATGTCTCATAACAATAAAAATGCTTTCAAATGAGCTGATGTAGGTAACAGCTCTTAACTTGCCAATAAAGTTAGGAATCCTTAACCTGTAAATAGCTTGTCAATAAAGCTAGGGATCCTTAACCTAGCCTCAGAGAGAGATAGAGAGATAGATATTATATATATATATATATATATAGAGAGTGAGAGAGAATGAGTGAGATGAGAGAGTAGTAGAGAGATAAGAGAGAGAGGAGAGTAGAGGGAGAGAGAGAGAGAGATAGAGAGAGAAGAGAGAGAGATAGAGAGAGAGAGAGATAGAGAGAGAGATAGAGAGAGAGAGAGATAGAGAGAGAGAGAGATAGAGAGAGAGAGATAGAGAGAGGAGAGAGATAGAGAGAGAGAGAGATAGGAGAGTAGAGAGAGATAGAGAGAGATAGAGAGAGAGAGAGAGAGAGATAGAGAGAGAGAGAGATAGAGAGATAGAGAGAGAGATAGAGAGATAGATAGATAGATAATGAGAATTATTTTCCAGTGAAAGTAGGCCTTTGACAGGGATGAATGATGTCACCATGGTTGTTTAACATTTATAGATGGGGTCATAAGAGAAGTGAATGCTTGGGTGTTGGTAAAAAGTGTGGGGTTAATAGATAAAGAATCTAACACAAAGTGGGAGTTGCCACAGTTGTTTTTGCTGATGACACTGCTTTTGGGAGATTCTGAAGAGAAGTTGCAAAGGTTGGTGGATGAGTTTGGAAGGGTAGGTAAAAGGAGGAAATTAAAAGTGAACATAGAAAAAAGCAAGGTGATGAGGATAACAAAAAATATACACAATAAAAGACTGGATATCAGATTGGACAGAAGGAGTATGGAGAAAGTGAATGTATTCAGATATTTGTAAATGGGTCTATGAAAGACAAGGTGAATCATAGGATTGATGAGGGGAAAAAAGGTGAGTGGTGCACTGAGAAATCTGTGGAGCCAACGTTATCCATGGAAATAAAGAGGAATGAGAGTATAGTGGTACCAATGCTCTTACATGGGTGTGAAGCATGGGTGGTGAATGCTGCAACAAGGAGAAGGCTGGAGGCTGTGGAGATGTTATGTTTGAGGGCAATGTATAGTGTGATCATTATGCAGAGAATCCAAAACTTGGATATTAAAAGGAGGTGCGGGGTTTCTAAAAGTATTAACCAGATGGCCGAGTAGGGGTTGTTGAGGTGCTTTGGACATTTAGAAAGGATGGAATGAAATAGTGTGACTTGGAGGGCACATAAATCTGTAGTGGAAGGCAGGCAGGGTAGGGGTCGTCGAAGGAAAGGTAGGAGGGAGGGGGTAAAGGAGGTTTTCTGTGAGAGGGGCTTAGACTTCCAGCAAAAGTGTGTGAGCATGTTAGTAGTGGAGACAAATGGTTTCTATGACTTGACATGCTGTTGGAGTGGGAGTAATGTAACACTTATGAAAAGATTCAGGGAAACCAGTTAGCTGAACCCGAGTCCTGGAGGTGGGAAGTACAGTATCTGTGCTCTGAAAGAGGGATGGGGGGATATGCTGCAGTTTTTTAACTGGAGTGTAGTCATGCCTTGGACAAGACAGTAATGTGGAGTGAATGATGATGGAAATGTTTCTTCTTTTTTAAGTCACCCTGCCTTGGTGGGAAACAGCTGATGTGTATAATAAGAAAAAATACTATAAAAAGAATGAAAGATTAGAGATCAGAATGGAAGGAGTTTGGAGGATGTAAATGTATCTATAAAGTTGGGAGTGGCCACAACAGAGGGGTCTCTTTAGGATTAGATAAACCATAGAATACACAGGAAAAGGCTCCAGTAGTGCTGAAGCAGCTGTTGCAATAAAAAAAAGGGCTTGTCAATAAATGAAAAAAAGCTAATGTATTAAAGTACAGTATACGTGATGCTGATGTATTCTATATAATTGTACAGCACAGTCTTTCAAATGTTGCAATAAGGAGATGGTTGAAGACTAGAAATGTCTCGTCTAAGATGTGTATCGAGAATAACAATATGATAAGAAATTAAGCTGGACTTGAGTCTTGGAGGTGGGAAGGGCACTGCCTGCATTCTGAATGTGGGATGGAATGTTACTGTTGGTGGTTAATCCAACTGTTAGCACACTTCTGGAAAGGAGATTGAATGAATGATGGTGAAATGTGTTTTCTTCTTTGGGTCATCCTGCCTTTGCAGATGGCCAGTGAGTTTAACAAAACAAAAAACAAAGATATACATACAGTGGACCCCCGACTTACAAACAGCTCCCAACTTGAACAATTATGTAAGTGTATTTTTGTAAGTGCTTCTGTAAGTGTATTTTTGTGGGTCTGAAACAGACTAATCTAGTTTACAATATTCCTTATGGGAACAAATTCGTTCAGTAACAGCACCCGAACAGCCTTCTGGAACGAATTAATATCGTAAGTCAGGGGTCCACTGTAATTAAGTATTGGAGGAAAGCTACTGAAATGCAGCAATACATCAGGAATATAAAACTTGGGAATGTGGAAGAGAAATATAGGCTTGAACATCTAGCAAGTATATGAGCATGCTTGGTTAATATATATTATACATGGGGAAACACTAAACAGTAGGGTCATGACAGATTGAACATTAAAATGGTATAAAATACCGACAGGTTGTTAGGTAAGACACATATGCAACAGTTAGGTATCTTTATTATGAAACGTTTCGCCTACACAGTAGGCTTCTTCAGTCGAGTACAGAAAAGTTGATAGAAGCAGAAGATACTTGAAGACGATGTAATCAGTCCATCACCCTTAAAGTTTTGAGGTGGTCAGTCCCTCAGTCTGGAGAAGAGCATTGTTCCATAGTATGAAACAATATTGTTTCATACTATGGAACAATGCTCTTCTCCAGACTGAGGGACTGACCACCTCAAAACTTTAAGGGTGATGGACTGATTACATCGTCTTCAAGTATCTTCTGCTTCTATCAACTTTTCTGTACTCGACTGAAGAAGCCTACTGTGTAGGCGAAACGTTTCATAATAAAGATACCTAACTGTTGCATATGTGTCTTACCTAACAACAGTAGGGTCATGCAAAACCTTGGAAGTGAGAGGTTATTGGGTTTAATCCAAGAGAACAGAGGGTAGCTTCAATTTCTGGTATTAAGAACCCTTCATCTGCATCAACACTCACTGAGAGGAGATTAGAGTGCAGGTGAGTGGTCTTTGAGATTTGATGTGCTATTAGTATGGGTGTATGGCACTATATCTATTACTGTACACGAAGAGATTCAGGAAAATCGGAATGCCAGACTTGGGTTTTGGAAGTGGGAATAAGTGTCTGCACTTCCTAGTTAGGTGGGGGATGTTGTAATTTGCTTATTCATCAGTGACCCATTATACCTTTGCCCTTACGGAATAGTAACTAAGGAGCACTGGTGAATGTATTTCCTACCTTATGGCCAAGTGTATTTAATGTAGGTAGAAGTTTGTAACATCTGATTGCCAATTTACATGATCAAGAGAAAGAAAGACCAGCAAACTCATCAACAATGCTGAACATTTAATGTACTGTCAGAATGGTAGCACCTACAAGCATGACTGATGCCTACCAGCTTCCTATTTTTAATGTGTGTCATGCTTTTGAAGCTGAACTTGCCCACATGGCTCATTTGGCAATGATCATTTTGCCAAACCAAGTGTGTATTAATTTTTGCTTTAATTATTATTATAATAATAATCAAAAAGAAGCGCTAAGCCACAAGGGCTATACAGCAATTTTTTGCTTTAAATCATTAGTCACGAGTCTGAATAATCACAAAATTAATATTCCATTGAAGTTAAATCAGCCCTATCTCATTGGGAAATGGTAAGCATGTTAGTGTGTGTTAAATCAATTATGCAAATTCTTATGATTAAGCTAGAGGTCCTCTTCATAAGAATATTTTAACCGTAGGAAAACCCTTCTCGTTGGTATTCTGCCTTCTGTCTGCTTTTTCAGCTGCATGGCTTTGCTTTTGATAGGCTTAAATTCCAGAAACCACTTATTCAAAAATTCCTGTTGTTTCCTTGTTTCATATTATCATGATGCTTTTTCTGTCACTGTCCCTCTGATATGGCTGCAAAGTAGCTTTGATCGCATCTTTGCCTTTGTTGCTATGGCAATTTGAAATGGGCTTTCCACTTGCCTCCTCACCCAAGGGTACTTATTTCTAGCTCATTTCTTGGCTTTCCTGTAGTTTGACACTGGGTTAATAATTTTTTTTTCAGCACAGTACCTGAATTTTGATTCCTAACAATGATTGAATTACATGCTTATAAAATGCCTCATTCCTAGTCACTTTTCTTGTACACATTATCCCAATCATCAGGTTCCCTCTTTTCTTCAATTTTGCTTCCACCATGATTACATGTATTAGTTTATGATACATTCACATAAATGCTCTAAACCTGTAAGGGTTATGTAGGGCTTCAAGCCTGAGTTGTGCTGACATCAAGGAAAAGAACTGTGAAAAGGGAAGTGCTGAAGAGGATAAAAGCAACAGTCAAAATTCTGACTGTTTACAAATAGCCGTTTTTTTCAAGCTTTTAAGCAGATTCCTCAATGTACGTTATGATCAGGTAAGGATTAGTTAGATTACAGTGTTGTCTAAACAATCAAAATTAACTAATTACAACATACCTACAAAGGCAAAAATGAAATCACAATGCAAGCGAGAGGGATATAAGGAGAGAGGGATATAATTGAAACAGTGAAGAGAAAGGGAAAACAGACCAAGGTATGCAACATCTGAAGGAGTTAATTCAGTAGTTTTGCAGGTAAACTTCCAGGTAAACTCCAGGATCGTGAAGCTCCTCAAGGTGAACAAGGCTCCCCGGCACAAACAATTCCTGAAGATGAATGACAAGTCCAGAAAGAGAAGCTGCTGAAGCTGAATATACTTGATCACCATAACTGCATTTAGATACAACCAAGGCATTTATAATGCTTATCAAGGAATGAAGGATCTATGGTCCATTTGACGTGATGCCATCATGCTACCCTACCCTTCCTTGGAACAAACCTGATTATTTCCCACACACCACTGTATGACTTCCCTAGAGGTTCAGGACTTTTTTAAGATGATGCTTTAGCAGGGTCTATGGTGGAATGACCCCTGCTATATCCAAACTGGTGGGGACTAAGTGTTTCCAAGTACATAGCTCGGTATCTTCCTTTTAATCATACATTCCAGTAATTTGCAAATGGAACTACATATATGAGAAGGGCCATGTCCCAGTGCACTGTAAAAAACAAAAAGAGATATAGAGAGATAGATATATATATATAGAGAGAGAGAGATATAGAGAATGTAGAATTGTGGATGAGCAAGGAGGCTTCAGAGTGGGTAGGGGATGTGTAGATCAAGTGTTTACATTGAAGCATATATGTGAACAGTATTTAGATAAAGGTAGGGAAGTTTTTATTGCATTTATGGATTTAGAAAAGGCATATGATAGAGTGGATAGAGGAGCAATGTGGCAGATGTTGCAAGTATATGGAATAGGTGGTAAGTTATTAAATGCTGTAAAGAGTTTGTATGAGGATAGTGAGGCTCAGGTTAGGGTGTGTAGAAGAGAGGGAGACTACTTCCCGGTAAAAGTAGGTCTTAGACAGGGATGTGTAATGTCACCATGGTTGTTTAATATATTTATAGATGGGGTTGTAAAGGAAGTAAATGCTAGGGTGTTTTTCTTGTTAAACTGTGCAAACATACTTGCATGAACAAAGTATGTATGTCAGACATTTTATTAATTATGAACGACTTCAGCTTGTAAAATCCAGAACTTATGTTCTGACTATTAAATTGCTTTTAAGAAACTAATTTGAACATAAAAATTTAGTTTAAACCAACCAATAATATGATTAAAATATCTTACATGAATAAACAGAGAAGTCAAAACTTGATCATGCCTGAATCTATATTTATGGTGTTTTAAGTGTGAATTCATGCTTCTTGTCAATCCTATGTAAGCCCTTAAGTGATGACCTTTTGATCCAAGGAATTTGCCTACCCCCTCCTTCCTTGGATCAGATATTTCCCCCTCATTCACCCAGGTACTGTATGACCCCCCATGAAGGAAATAAATGGTATAAAATACCGCCCACTGTGTGGGCGAAACGTAGTCAATAAAGGATCACATTATACTGCATTTGTGTTTATATTGCCACCCCCCATGAATTTAGTGCTTCTTCCATGAATGGAATTTTGTTTTATTAACACACTGGCCGTTTTCCACCAAGGTAGGGTGGCCTGAAAAACAAAAACTTTTGCCATCATTCACTCCATCACTGTCTTGCCATAGGTGCACTTACACTACAATTATAAAACTGCAACATTGACATCCCTCCTTCAGAGTGCAGGCACTGTACTTCCCATCTCCAGGACTCAAGTCCGGCCTGCCGGTTTCCCTGAATCCCTTCATAAATAGTATTACCCTGCTCACACTCAATCAGCATATCAAGCCCTAAAAACCATTTGTCTCCATTCGTTCCTATCTAATACGCACACGCATGCTTACTGGATGTCCAAGCTCCTCGCACACAAAACCTCCCTTAACCCCTCCCTCTAACCTTTCCTAGGCCGACATCTACCCTGCCTTCCCTCCACTACAGATTTATACACTCTTGAAGACATTCTATTTCGTTCCATCCTCTCTACATGTCCAAACTACCTCAACAATCCCTCCTCAGCCCTCTGGATATCATCCTAAATAAAACTCGTGTCAAGAGATCTTAAAAACACAGACATGAAGTTTCTCTAGGTAATTCTTATTAGTTAAAAATTTTGAGTAGAAGCAGGAAAACCAGAGGAAAACATACACTTCCGTATTTCCCTTTTTGGTTAGTAATTACTGGGAATGGAGTAACCAATCCCTTGCTTTTGGCATTTTAGTTGCCTTGTATGGTGTGCATGCATTGGGATAAAATGATTCTAACCTCACTGTGTGCATTCACAAGGTGCTGATGTATTGTAGACATATTTAGAGAATTAAGCACATTTGAAAAATTAAGTGAAAGTAAATATGAACACAGTGGAAATATTGGGTGAAGGAACACAAGAGACAGGTTTCTCAACACACACATTACCAAATTTTAGTACAAACAGGATTTTGCTGTGGGGTACTTTTCTCTAAGATAAGAAGTTGTATAAGAATACAGGATACTACCTAATAATAAGTCAGCTGACCGTAAGATGATATATTTGATATTAGCAGCCATGATGAGAAACACTTCCAAACACAATTACTTTTATTATAAATTAATAAATGTTTTTGATAGCACCCACTTGTAATAATGATCCACATCACCTTACGGTATTACTCTAGATTACACATTAAATACACTTCCTAACACATGCCTTAATTTTAAAAAGCTAATAGCTATATACAGTACATCAAACATCTGAATGGCATCTTCTACACTCGCACCAAATAGAAGATGAAAGCATTAAGAAGTAATCTGATACTGGATAAATATGCATATATGATTCTTAATCTTGTAATTGTTCATGTCGAAGGTTTCAGTGTGACAGAGCTGCACTCATTAACGATGTCGTCTTGGAACACGGGCCCTCGGTCTCCTCGGAGCAACAGAACTTGCAGTGTTGCCTGTAAATAATTTATCAATAAGTATATCACCTAATATAGACAAAAATACTTAAGATGGCCAAGAATATGCCTGCCACAACTTTCAAGCTAAGCTATTGTAAAAAAAAAAAAAAAAAAAATTAATATATGTATACTGTGCACAAAGAATGCATAAAAAAAGCATTTGTATGGTTTAACTTAAATGCCATGAATTACAAAAGGGTTATAACCATACAAGTGCAATTTACTCCATACACACCCCTTCCAGGAAGGTTCATTAACAAAGATTAATGGTTCTTGAATTAAGAAATTGCACCTGACCTCCCCTTCCTTAGATTGAGCACTATTGTTTCTCATTCCCCAGGTACTATATGACCCCTACAAGTATAGAACTCCTTCATGAATGAAATAATAATATTCCATGCAAAAATTACCTTGAAACAGCATTTCAGAAAAACTAAATAGTCAAGCATTACAGAGAACAAAATATGTACGTAATAAAAGAAGCCAATTTTCTGTAACATAATGTATTTACTTATTTGAATCAGGGGAAAGTGCCAAACCCACAGTGGTCATATATCACCTGGGGAATGGGAGGCATTCAGATTCAATTTAATTAAGGGGAGGATGGGAAGATAAGTCTAATTCCTTGGATCAAGAGCCCCTCCCTTGAGGGGAATACACATGACAATGGTATTAAACATGTCATCCAAAAATGAAAAACTGTAGAAACCAATACAGATTAACAAGTGCTTTTTAACCCGTAAATGGTCCAAACATATATATATGTTTTTACCGCTAGTGCCCCAAACGTATATATACGTTTTATTTTTCCTGCCTTCAAATTTGGCACGACTGGCTTGAGATGCCTTGTCAGCATAGAATGGGTTCTAACACTCAGTGTGCACAGTATTAAAAAAATCTTAGTACCTTGTGGGAGCACCAGTTCAAATGAGCGCCAGCTAGAGCAAACAGCGTAGCAAACACCTGGGATTCACTGATGTCATGTAGTATTAACACCCCTATTTAACCCTTAAACGGTCCAAACAAATCGACGTTCAAATTCAGATGTTGAAAAAACGTATATATACGTTTGGACCATTTAAGGGTTAAAGAGGAAAGTGATTCTGACCCTGAGTTTAGTGGCTCTGAGGTGGATGTGGCCACAAGTGGTCGAAGAAAGATCAAAAAAAAAAAAAAACCTTGATAATAACCCATGTGCAATATTTGTGCAACACCCTTTCAGAATGTCTTGTAACCTATGCCCTAAGTAAAGAGAAACAATTCTAGCTGGCTGGCTGGCTGCCTGACTGGGTGATTGGCTGGCTAGCTGGCTGGCCAGCTGCATAGTAGCCAGCTGTGTGGCTGGCCAGCTGCTGGTGGCCTGGCTCTATCTCCATTTGTCTGTCTGTATCTATGTTTATCTCTGTCTGTCTCTCTGTCTCTATCCCTGTCTGTCTCTGTCTTTGTGTCCGTCTGTCTCTATCAAACCATACCCCCGGCCGGGATTGAACCCGCGGTCATAGAGTCTCAAAACTCCAGCCCGTCGCGTTAGCCACTAGACCAGCTAGCCACAATAAGATTCATCCAACTAGGTATATTTCTACACCATAGGAAGGTTAGCACAGGCACCTCTGTGACCACAAATGCAAGTTTTTACAGACGAATCTCCAGCTAGCGTGGCCGTGACGAACTCTAGCTCAAGTCCCTTCACTGCCGTCAACATGACTCAAGAAATCGTAATGACACGATTGCAAACAAACCATACCCCCGGCCGGGATTGAACCCGCGGTCATAGAGTCTCAAAACTCCAGCCCGTCGCGTTAGCCACTAGACCAGCTAGCCACAATAAGATTCATCCAACTAGGTATGGTGTAGAAATATACCTAGTTGGATGAATCTTATTGTGGCTAGCTGGTCTAGTGGCTAATGCGACGGGCTGGAGTTTTGAGACTATGACAGCGGGTTCAATCCCGGCCGGGGGTATGGTTTGTTTGCAATCGTGTCATTACGATTTCTTGAGTCATGTCTGTCTCTATCTCTGTCTCACAGGTACGTATAAATACAAGTATACATAGTGTAAATTACCTAGGATAACCCAAAAAATCCAGACAAAGTGCTATACTCTGCTTGAAGATGTGACTAAATATGATGACGATGCAGTCTTGTGGCTCTCTCTGAGACAGAGAGCTAGATGGATAGACAGACAGACAGGGAGCTTGACAGACAGACATGTTTGTGTACCAGCGAAAACAAAGCAGGCCCTAATCTTCTCTTATCAAGTCTTATCACTGCACCCTTGCAAATGCTCATCAAACCTCATCAAACGTCATCTCTTATCAAATGTTATCTCTTCTTATCACATCACTGTCAGGGGTGGACACTGTTTTTCATGCTTCAAGGGGACTTATTATTTTATTATTACTTATTCTTCTTCTCCTCCTCCTCCTCATTATTATTATATACTTCCACATATCCAAAACATCGTTGGGACCTATAAATACTTTGTATATATTCAAAGACAATAGTAAATGACCAAGGCAGGTGTAAATGTCCACCTGTCAATGTGTTTGTGACAATGTGAGTACAATTTCAGTACCTAATACTGTCGCACCCTTCTGGCAAGACAGTGATGGAGTAAATGATGGTGAAAGTTTTTCTTTTTCGGGCCACCCTGCCTTGGTGGGAATAGGCCAGTGTGATAATAGAAAAAAAATACTAGTGTCAGAACAAAGATTAGTTATGAAATGACAAGAACTACTATAAATTGTAATTATCCAGAACATAAAAATTATATAAAATAATATGAAAAATGGAAAAAAAGATATATCGGCAACACTTCTGCAAGCGGCAGCGCTCCACGTTGCCGCCAGGTGATCTCTAAGTGCCAACTTTGCGGCCTCATATCTCGGTAAGTACTGACCCTAAAAAAAATTTTTTTTTATCCTATAACACTTAGAAAAATGTGCTCTTTTTTAAAAAAAAAAAAAAAACTTATTTTTCAAAATATTCAGGGCACTGGGGTAGTGAACGTATACATACGTTTGGACCGTTTACGGGTTAAACAACAAAAAGTAAAGGAAATACTGGAAGCAGTACAAAATGTGCCCCAACCCATAATAGCACAAGAGATTCAACCCTTCGGGTTTCTTGATGCTGGCGAGCTCAATCTAGAGAACTGAACCAGTGTTCCAATTGGTTGACTCAAGCATGAAGGCTTTCCATTCCCAACAGGTGCTGTAGGAACTCTACAGGTCTAACACTCCCCCATGAATGTAGTAACAGATTCAAACACACTGGAATTAAATATATGTACTGTACACGGTCACCAATTATCAGTACAGCCTCTCCTCACCTAAACGATGGAGTTCAGTTCCTGAGACCACGTCTTTAAATGAATTTGTCGCTAAGTGAGGAGCATACTATAATGATATTAAGTTTGCATCAACCAGCTTTGATATTGTTTCAGTGTCATCTTTGCACCATTTATAACATTTCTGGCATATTTTTTAATGTTTATACAGTAGTGTACTGTATAGTGAAATAAACAGAATAGAGGAAATCAGCTCTAATATACATTATTTAGGTATGAATACTGGTCAGAGAGCCCGTTGTAAGTGAGGTGTCGGTAAACAAGTACGTCGCTAAATGAGGAGAGGCTGTATACAAGAATAGAATAGACAGACTGCAGTATTTCCCTGGATTTTGTAAAAAGCTTTTGAGAATTCCTTTTGAAACATAAATCTAGAAATTACAAAATACTGTCTAGGAGTAAACCAAAAACCATTACAACGCACAAGATTCTGCTTTATATAAAAGTACAAAATAGCAACAACAGAAATCTCACCCCATTATAAATGTCCAATACTAACATTTTTCATTACACTTATTTCCAGACTGCAGTAAAACCTCCCATTAACATATCTTGCCAATTTCAAATAAATGTTGGAAGTATCGGAAGTAAGTAATTCCAGATTTTGTCCATAGCAACACAGTAGTCTGGTTGTCTCCTGAAGTACTGGACCAAATATAATGACTCTGACATCCGTCTGGTATGGGCCACAGTGGCCATGTTCAGGACCTGTCTGTTTTCAATGCCTCCTGACCCATAGGCTGCTCATGCCAGTTTATTGTTTGTGCTCACTCACTCATACACTCGCCATTCAGTCTCCAATTTTTCCTGGATTTAATGTGTTTTCTGCAACTTTATTTACACATTAAGTAAAATGAAATTAACAATGGCTTCTAAAGCAAGTGACAGTGCCAAGAAGAAATGTATAGCTTTCAGTGTTAAGCAAAAACTTATAATAATAATAATAATAATAATAATAATATCTTTATTTACTACAAGTACATGTACAAGGTATACAGTCCTAGCTGACAACAATGACATACTACTATATAGAAACTCCCTTGTTATGCTCTGCATTTCGGGCAAATTAGGTCAGTGTCCCGGGATGCGACCCACACCAGTCGACTAACACCCAGGTACCCATTTTACTGATGGGGAACATAGACAACAGGTGGAAAGAAACACGTCCAATGTTTCTACTCTGGCTGGGAATCGAACCCAGGCCCTCGCCGTGTGAAGCGAGAGCGTTAGCCACCAGAGCCCCAACTTGAACTAATAAAGGTTGAGACTGGAGTTTTAGTGGAACATCTTCTTAATCAACTACATTGTTTTCACCAGCTTTACTGATGACTCAGAATAAAAGTTATCAAGTCACCACTATCATGGCAGTTAACACATTTCTCTACCACAAAAGCTAAGTAAAATTACTGTAAACTATGTACAGCACTATGAAATTACTATGCAGCAGAGTACCAAACTGCAGTGCTAGGGGTTACAATACCTATATTCTTAGTGCCACGTTGTCTTCTGACGTAACTAGCGGACCAAGTCCGCTAAAGTATTTCTACATAAACAGAAGCAGAGTGATTGTAATGGACTGCAAGACAATTAAAGATGAGGCAACATGAACAAAGCACTACACTTTTACCTGCAAGCAAGCAACTATAGAACTGTAGGTGAAGATACAGGCAGCAAATAACACACACACCAGAAGCAGTCACTAACCTGCATTAAATGATGGAGGATTGGAGGAACCAAACTGGAATACAGGCCCTCCAGATGTACCAGTAGCAGAAGGTCCAGCAACAAATGATGTAGGACTGGTAACCCCTGCAAATGTTGGAGGACTGGTAGCTCCTGCAAATGTTGAGGGATTTGCACCTCCTCCAAATGTTGAAGGACTTGCAGGAAATGATGGGGTACCATTAGCCCCTTGACCAAACTGGAATGCTGAGCTTTTATCAGTCACATTTTTATCGCTGTTAAAGGTTGCCCCTCCAAATGTGGAAGCTTGTGGGGTACTAAATCTACCAGCTGCTCCTGCATTGCCAAAGCTTGGAGATGGGGCTGGATTATTAGAGCTTACAAAAGATGGTGATGCTCCCTGCGCTCCAAAAAGATTAGCACCACTACCCGTTTTGTTATTAGGTGTTGGTGCAAAGGTGGGAGGGTTAAAGGATGAGCTTGGGGATGTTGCTGCAAAAGCATTAGTTGATCCAAATGGAGATGTTGGGTTGACTGCTGTAGTTCCAAAACTGGGTGTCGATGTTCCAAAAGTTGGTGCACCTGTTGTTGGAGCACCAAAGTTTTGACTTTGGTTAGTTCCAAATGATGGGGCAGCAGTAGCACTTCCTCCAAAGCTAAAGGGAGATGCTGTACTAGCACCAAAATTCGAAGTCTTTGCGGCACTACTGCCAAAAGTGAATGGTGAACTAGATTTTATATTAGCTGAGGGAGTTACAAGTGATGAACCAAACTGAAATCCAGTAGCTGGAGATGAAGCTGGAGAGACAAATGTGAAACCTGTTGTTGGTGCAGAAGTTGTAGTTGCAGTTGGCACTGAAGAAAAGCTGAATCCAGATGGTGCTGCAGGTTTGGCAGACGTATTTGTAGTGGAACCAAATGCCGGAGCTGTGGTGTTTGTTTTAGGTGGACCAAAAGTATATGGAGATGTAACTGATGGTGCAGCTGTAGTTAAAGTGTTTGTTCCACCTGCATCAAAGGCGAACAAGGAAGAAGTAGCAGTATTGCTCTGAGTGCTTGCTACAGCAGGGGTAAATGATTGAAGTGTAACTGTAGCTGCTGGTGCTGCTGCTTTGCCAAATTGAAAGACACCAGAGGATGATCCTGAGGCTACTTGTGTAGATGTAGAGCCAAATGCAAAGGGCAAGGAAGATGCAGTTGTAGTTGAAGGGGATACCATTGTCTGTCCGAAGGTAAAATGCGAGGCCTGATTTGATGCTGAAGTTGATGGTGTCACTGAGGTTGAACTAAATGTAGGAAGAGCAGTACTAACTGCTGCTGTTGCACAAAAAGGTGGTGGACCTGTAACAGATGCTGTAGATAAACCAAAAGCAGGTGGTACTGTAGTAGGAGCTGTTGACCCTGTCTGACTGCTAAATGTTAAGCCACTTCCAAATCCTGATGATGTTGATGAAGGGGTTGCCTGAGTGGTTCCAGTGGATCCAAATGGCAAAACAGGGGAGGCAGAAGTCTGGGATGTACCAAATGAAAACCCAGTGGTATTAACTGTACTCAAAGTAGTTGAGTCAGTTGAAGATGGCAACTTCTTAGGATCCAAAAATGGAAAAGGAGACTGTTGAGTAGTGGAAGCAATATTCCTACTACCAAAATTGAACAATCCACCTGAAGAATTGGATGAGGATTCAGCTACAGTGGAAGTAATTGCTGAAGCATCAAATCCTACTTGAGTTGTGGTTGGAGTTTCAGTTGTAATGGGGGTGTTGCTAAAGAAGCCACTAGACATTACGCTTCCAGTTGAAGTGATGCTATTGCAACTCGATGTAACTTCAAAACTAGACTGCTGAAAGTCAACAGGCTTGTTTGTATTACCAGATCCAAATGTCAAAGTGACTGACTTTGAAGACGATGGTGCATCTTCAACTGTCCTTGATGGACTGTTAGCAAAATTAGTTGTAGATGGTGCAGTGAAACTAAATGTATTTGCAACAGAACTTACAGCATGAGGAAAATTAAGAGATAACACTGATGGAGTAGAAGTAAGCTTATTCATAGATGGGACAGAAGTTTGGCCAAAAGTAAACACCCCTGTACTTCCTTGGCTAACTGCTGTACTGGAGGGAAGGGTTAATGGTAAAATTACAGATGTCTGGTTTGACTCAGAAACAGATGTTGGTTGTGTAGAAGTTTTGTTTTCTATAGTAGTATTTCCACACAAAGGTAAGGCAGGTGCTGTCCCATTCTTTGCTGATGAGGTGGCTTTTAAGAAGTCTACAAGTGATGGTGATGAAATAGGTGCATCTGGGGATTCAGTTGTGGAGGGAGCCAAGAAATCAGCCTCATTTTCTGCATTATCCTTAGTACTATCACTCTTGGTAGTTGCAGGAAGCTTGAACATAGCAGTAACTGACACATTGTTGCTTCCCTCTCCCTCTTCTGTTGTTAAATCATCTTTGTTACCAGAGTCAATGTCCTTGCTGGTAGCTGCTGAGATACTAGGTGGTTTGAGAGAGAGAGTGAAAGAAGCAGACACTTCACTTTTAGTTCCTTCTGAAGATGTTGTTTGAATAATACTGATGCACGATGGAGAAGGATTCTCTTCAGTTGTGTTCTTTGTTAATGAATTAGATGGTGCTTCAAACTCTCCAGTTTCTGTGGTAGGGATGGAAGGAGCTGCAGTTTCTAAGGTTCCAGAGGACGTTGTTGGGTTTGAATTCAATGCAACTGGTGGAGTTGAACTTGAAGCTACTGTAGGTGTGACCTCAATAAGAGAAGAACCTGAGGCAGTTGGCGTTGACTCCCCAGATTTTGACGGCTGAGACTCTTCACCCTCTGTATGTAAAATGAAATATATTAACTGCATGCAACTAGGCCTATTTTACTAAATATAACTAGTGTTTTCTTTTTGGGGATTTTCTTTCTTTTTTGGGTCACCCTGCCTCGGTGGGAGACGGCCGACTTGTTGGAGAAAAAAAAAAAAAAAAAAAAAAAACTAGTGTGGCAAGAGCATACATAATTCCTTTATATAAAGGGAAGGGGGACAAAAGAGATTGTAAAATTATAGGGGACTAAGTTTACTGAGTTAGGTAGTAGGTTGGTAGACAGCAACCGCCCAGGGAGGTACTACCGTCCTGCCAAGTGAGTGTAAAACGGAAACCTGTAATTGTTTTACATGATGGTAGGATTGCTGGTGTCATTTTTCTGTCTCATAAACATGCAAGATTTCAGGTACGTCTTGCTATTTCTACTTGTATTTAGGTCACACTACACATACATGTTTTTTTTTTTTTTTCAACAAGTCGGCCGTCTCCCACCGAGGCAGGGTGACCCAAAAAAAAGAAAGAAAATCCCCAAAAAGAAAATACTTTCATCATCATTCAACACTTTCACCACACTCGCACATTATCACTGTTTTTGCAGAGGTGCTCAGAATACAACAGTCTAGAAGCATACACACATAAAGATACACAACATATCCCTCATATCACACATACATGTACAAGCATATATATACACACCCCTTTGGGTTTTCTTCTATTTTCTTTCTAGTTCTTGTTCTTGTTTATTTCCTCTTGTCTCCATAGGGGAAGTGGAACAGAATTCTTCCTCCGTAAGCCATGCGTGTTGTAAGAGGCGACTAAAATGCCGGGAGCAAGGGGCTAGTAACCCCTTCTCCTGTATAAATTACTAAATTTAAAAAGAGAAACTTTCGTTTTTCTTTTTGGGCCACCCTGCCTCGGTGGGATATGGCTGGTTTGTTGAAAAAAAAAAAAAAGTTTACTGAATATACCAGGAAAGGTGTACGGTAGGGTTATTACTGAAAGAATTAGAAGCAAGAGAGTAGGATTGCAGATAAGCAAGGAGGTTTTAGAGTGGGTAGAGGATGTGTAGATCAAGTGTTTACATTGAAGCATATATGTGAACAGTATTTAGATACAGGTAGGGAAGTTTTCATTGCATTTATGGATTTTGAAAAGGGATATGATAGAGTGGATAGGGAAGCAATGTGGCAGATGTTGCAAGTACATGTATATAGAATAGGCAGTAAGTTACTATATGCTGTAAAGTTTTTATGAAGATAGTGAGGCTCAGGTTAAGGTGTGTAGGAGAGAGAGAGATTACTTCCTTGTAAAAGTAGGTCTTAGACAGGGATGTGTAATGTCACCATGGTTGTTTAACCCTTTCAGGGTCCAGAGGCCAAATTTCAAAGTGTGCACAAGGGTCCAAGAATTAAAAATTTTTTTTATTTTTGTTATTTTTTCTTATGAAATGGTAGAGAATCTTTTTCTGAAAGGTAATAAAACAAAAAGTACGAAATCTGATGGGAAACTGACGAAATTATGCTCTTGCAAATTTTGATGTGTCAACAACATTTACGCATCGGCGATTTTGCCGATTTTGACTCCCATTTTAGGCCAATTACATTACTTTAGTTGACCAAATTCTTAGTTATTTCACTAGCATTACTTCTATTCTATCGATTGAGCACACATCGCCACATGAACTGTTTCAACTACAAAATAAAGGGATCGGAAAATGGTAATTTGGCCAATTTAATGCAAAGTTCAAAATATTCCAATTTCAAAATAGGGTCCAGAATAAACAATGCAGGCATTCCTGGCACTAAACTAACATTTCCTCTGTTCATTAGTTATGTTTTGAGGCTTTACAAATGCATTCCATTTTGATTTTTTATTCACATAAGGAATTTTTATTCAAACCAAAAAAAAGATTTACTGTTATGCAATATTGTAATAATTGTATAAATAATATCACCACATTAGTGAACGTATATTAGACCCACCAGCTGGTGTGTATTAGACGTGTGAGGTCATTTGTTTACCCTTGAACATTGGCAAAAATTTAACATTTCCTCTAATTTGAGCTCAGTTTCAAGCCATTTCCAGTACTATAACCAATCAAAATCATCTCTATTTCTGTAGTATATCTTTCATTCTATCAAATGAGACCAAGAAATTGCAAATACAACAATAAAAAACACATGAAAAAACACTGCAAAGTTGCTGTTTTAATGGAAAATTACGGACTCAGTTTTTTTTCTCATTATGCACTGTGTGCTGCAGGATTTGTTATATGTGGTGCACACATACCACATATCTATGTGGTATGTGTGCACCACATATAACAAATTTGGGCCTAGATATATGTGTTCACCACATATAACAAACTTGGGCCTAGATATGAGAGAATGCAGATGCATTCTCTCATATCTAGGCCCAAATTTACCCCTCACAGCTTATCAGAGTGAGCTCAGCTCACTCTGATAAGCTGTGAGGGGTAAATTTGGGCACAAACCCTGAAAGGAATAATATATTTATAGAAAAGGTTGTAAAAGAAGTAAATGCTAGGGTGTTGGGGAGAGGGGTGGGATTAAATTATGGGAAATCAAATACAAAATTGGGAGTTGACACAGCTACTTTTTGCTAATGATATTGTGCTTATGGGAAATTCTAAAGAAAAGTTACAAAGGTTAGTGGATGAATTTGGGAGGGTATGTAAAGGTAGAAAGTTGAGAGTGAACATAGATAAGAGTAAGGTGATGGGGGTATCTAATGATTTAGATAAAGAAGAATTGGATATCACATTGGAGAGAGGGAGTATGGAAGAACTGAACGTTTTCAGATATTTGGGAGTTGACTTGTCAGTGGATGGGTTTATGAAGGATGAGGTTAACCATAGAATTGATGAAGGAAAAAAGGTGAGTGGTGTGTTGAGGTATCTGTGGAGACAAAAAACGTTATCTATGGAGGCAAAGAAAGAAGGGAATGTACGAAAGTATAGTGGTGCCGGCATTCTTATATGGGTGTGAAGCTTGGGTTGCAAATGCTTCCACAAGGAGGTGGCTGGAGGCAGTGGAGATGTCCTGTCTAAGGGCAATGTGTGGTGTAAATATTATGCAAAGAATTTGGAGTGTGGAAATTAGGAGGAGGTGTGGAGTTACTAAAAGTATTAGTCAAAGGGCTGAAGTGGGGTTGTTGAGGTGGTTTGGTCATTTAGAGAGAATGGATCAAAGTAGAATGACTTGGAGAGTGTATAAATCTGTAGAGGAAGGAAGGTGGGGTAGGGGTCATCCTCAAAAAGGTTAGAGGGAGGGGGTAAAGGAGGTTTTGTGGGCGAGGGGCTTTGTCTTCCAGCAAGCATATGTGAGCGTGTTAGATAGGAGTGAATGGAGACGAATGGTTTTTGGGACCTGACAAGCTGTTGGAGTCTGAAGGAATTCAGGGAAACCAGCTATTTTTATATAACCAGACTTGAGTACTGGAAATGGGAAGTACAATGCCTACACTTTAAAGGAGAGGTTTGGGATATTGGCAGTTTGCAGGGGTATATTATATATCTTTATATATGCCTCTAAACTGTTGTATCTGGGCACCTCTGCAAAGACAGTGATTGTGTGTGAGTGACTTGAAAGTGTTGAATGATGAAGAAAGTTTTTTTTTTTTCTGTGTGTGTGGGGGGGGGGGGATTTTCCTTTCTTTTTGGGTTACCCTGTCTCGGTGGGAGACGGTCGACTTGTTGGAAAGAAAAAAAAACTAGTGTGTTTTAAAAATTTAAGACAATATAATTCAAAACCCACAAGGGGACAGAAATGAAACAGATAAGGAGAGCTGTATATTTTGTCCATTTACTAATGAAGAGACCTCAGAATGGCCAAAACTGTACAGCCCTTGTAACCCATTGTTTCATTTCTGTATGCAACCTGACTTCAGGAATGGTAACTGTGTAATCATCTTCAGGTGAGAGTTTTGGATCCCAATATAACTTTTCTATGGAGGCTAAATATTTTCGATAATTTGTGACCAAATTCAAGGTTCATTTGAACATTATTACATCATGAGACCCATCACATGTGAGTAGCTGGCCAGAGGCCCCTCCCTCAGTTCCACACTAGGCATAGACTCGACGAGGCAGGGCATGGGTTCTCCTCAAGACTCTCTTAATTATATGCTTCCAAGACATCCAACATGTGTATTTCTGTCTACAATATCTCCTGAGGAACCCCCAAGACACTTTCTTGGAAACTTTTGACCCGATTTTAATATTTTTTTTTTGTTCTGTTTTAAAACATGAAAGACCAAGGTCAAATAAAAAAAAAGGGGTTCTCCAAAAATGTTTTGACACTACAATACAATTTCATTTACCCCCCCCCCTGGGCAGTTTAAGAATTAAACTTCAGCACTGGGGAAGGAAACTTCACTAATATAATTATTCAATAATATCTAAGCAATAACAACCATTATACTGGAAGTGAAGAACACCAAAAATATAAACAAAGCCTAAATTTTATTGAAGCTAATTTTCAGATAAATAAACCCACTTTTACTTTTTTTATATAATTTTTTTTAGAGCTTTGAGCCTCGACCAGACACAACACAAAGGAAGTGAACAAGACTTCAAGAAACTGGGAAGTCTAATGGCACTACAAACTCACCTTTAACATGGAAGAGCATCCCCAACATCTTCTTGAGTCTCTGCTGGCTCTTCGCCTTTTCTGCTTTATATGCCTCCAATGATATAACATGCGTGGGCCTGGGTGGGGTCGGGTTCCTTGGTGTTGAGGTGCGAGAGGTGTTGGCAGTGCCTCCATTTCCTACAGCACCACTACTATTAGAGCCCTCCCCACGAGTACTCTGAGGTGTGTGAGACCCTGAACGGTCAGAAGGGTCACGTTCAGAAGGTCCTGGACTGATAATGCATGAATCTCCTCCTGTAGCTTCACTTGTCTGCATAGTAAAAGCAAGAATTAGCTTAAAATCTATTATTTTTTCTATTATAATTTTTTTTTTAACATACTGGCCATCTCCCACCTAGGCAGTGTGACCCAGAAAAGAAGAAACACTTTCACTGCATCATTATCTTGCCAGAGGCACACCAATACTACAGTTCAGATGCCCCTCCAAACTGCCACACCAACAGCATTAAATGAAACTAAACTAGAATTTGTACACTACTCAGCCAATCTTTGATAAGGAGTACTGTTGTCCCGAATCACTAACTGCCTCCTCTTTTAGTTTATAAACCTTCACCTCTCTCTTCCCTGATGCTTCTATTCTCCTTGTATCCCATCTACCTTTTACTCTCAGTGTAGCTACAATTAAAAAGTGATCTGATATATCTGTGGCCCCTCTATAAACATGTACATCCTGAAGTCTACTCAACAGTCTTTTATCTACCAATACATAATCCAACAAACTACTGTCATTTCGCCCTACATCATAGCTTGTATACTTATTTATCCTCTTTTTCTTAAAATATGTATTACCTATAACTAAACCCCTTTCTATACAAAGTTCAATCAAAGGGCTCCCATTATCATTTACACCTGGCACCCCAAACTTACATACCACACCCTCTCTAAAAGTTTCTCCTACTTTAGCATTCAGGTCCCTTACCACAATTACTCACTCACTTGGTTCAAAGGTTCCTATACATTCACTTAACATCTCTCAAAATCTCTCTCTCTCCTCTACATTCCTCTCTTCTCCAGGTGCATATACGCTTATTATGACCCACTTTTCGCATCCAACCTTTACTTTAATCCACATAATCCTTGAATTTACACATTCATATTCTCTTTTCTCCTTCCATAAATGATCCTTCAACATTACTGCTACCCCTTCCTTAGCTCTAACTCTCTCAGATACTCCAGATTTAATCCCATTTATTTCCCCCCACTGAAACTCCCCTACCCCCTTCAGCTTTGTTTCGCTTAGGGCCAGGACATCCAACTTCTTTTCACTCATAACATCAGCAATCATCTATTTCTTGTCATCCGCACTACATCCACGCACATTCAAGCATCCCAGTTTTATGAAGTTTTTCTTCTCTTTTTTAGTAAATGTCTACAGGAGAAGGGGTTACTAGCCCATTGCTCCCGGCATTTTAGTCGCCTCATACGACACGCATGGCTTACGGAGGAAAGATTCTTTTCCACTTCCCCATGGACAATAGAAGAAATAAAGAAGAACAAGAGCTATGTAGAAAAAGGAGAAAAACCTAGATGTATGTATATATATATGCATGTGCATGTCTGTGAAGTGTGACCAAAGTGTAAGTTGGAGTAGCAAGATATCCCTGTTATCTAGCGTGTTTATGAGACAGAAAAAGACACCAGCAATCCTATCATCATGCAAAACAGTTACAGGTTTCTGTTTCACAGTCATCTGGCAGGACGGTAGTACTTCCCTGGGTGGTTGCTGTCTACCAACCTGAAGAAGACATGCACAGTTAGTAGTACTCTACTAACAATTTAATACATGACACTTACCTTTAATGAAGATCTGGTGATGATTAATGGGATGGGAGGAGGGGAGAGTGTTGAAGTTGTTAATGTTTAGAAGGGGAATCCCCTTCCATTAGGACTTGAGGTAGCAAGTCCTTTTCCGGGGTTATTTCCCTTCTTCTTTTAATGCCACTAGGACCAGCTTGAAAGTCACTGGACCTCTGTCGCACAACAAATCTGTCCATAGAGCTCTGTATCTCCCATTCCTTTACGATTTGTCTAAAATGGGCCACAACATTGTCATTGTAATAGTCACCAGCACGGCTTGCAATAGCTGTGTTAGGGTGATTTTCATCCATAAAGGTTTGCAGTTCAACCCACTTTGCACACATTTCCTTAATTTTTGAAGTAGGCACAATGGATTCCACAACTGACAAAGGCTTTTTGGGGTTAGCCCCAAACCCTTCAAAATCTTTCTTAATTTCTATACTAATTCTCACCCTTTTTACCACAGGGTTGGCACTAGAAGCTTTCTTGGGGCCCCATGGTGACTTACTTTGCAGAAACAAGCACCAAATACACTGTGATAATATGGAATGTACCGAATGTATGCTTAGATGCGAGCACACTGGCTGGCTTGTAAACACTGGCACTCACGTGGACGCGTCCCGGACGAATCGTGTGTGGTGGGTTTTTTAACGAGTGGCGAGGCAAAATTTTTGCGTTAAAATGTATTGAATACCGGATTTAACGTATACCGATGCCATCGAATGCCGGGGGTCCATTGTAATTGTTTTACATGATGGTAGGATTCCTGGTGTCTTTTTTCTGTCTCAAACATGCAAGATTGCGGGTATGTCTTGCTACTTCTACTTACACTTAGGTCACACTACACATACATGTACAAGCATTTATATACACACCCCTCTGGGTTTTCTTCTATTTTCCTTCTAGTTCTTGTTCTTGTTTATTTCCTCTTATCTCCATGGAGAAGTGGAACAGAATTCTTCCTCCGTAAGCCATGCGTGTTGTAAGAGGCAAATAAAATGCCGGGAGCAAGGGGCTAGTAACCCCTTCTCCTGTATACTATATTACTAAATTTAAAAGGCGAAACTTTCGTTTTTCCTTTTGGGCCACCCCACTTCAGTGGAATATGGCTGGTACATTGAAAGAAAGAATGATAATAATAATAACATAACACGTATAATAATAATACATGTACGATGATAATGTACTACATAATAATAATTACAATAATAGACGATTTCAAAAGGCCATCACTAGATGGCAGTGTTTACCACAACAAAGAGGGAGCGGTTGTGGCCGCTTCCACCTGTTACATAATGACATATTTTATGCATTCTGGAGTATTTATCAGGTTTCTATGTTATTTATATTGTTTATTATTTCATATTAGATGAACTGTGATAGATAAATAAGCCGTAGAGTTGATGATAGCGAAATATTCAAGGAGTATTTTGTCCTGTCTCAAGATGAACTCTTGTCGGCTGCCACCGCTGCCACATATATAATGACATTTTATTCATTCTAGAGTATATATCAGGTTTCTATGTTATTTATATTGTTTGTTATGTCATATTAGATGAACTGTGATAGAAAAATAACCCATAGAGTTGATGTTAGCAAAATTATTGAAGTACAGAATTTCACTGGAACGGATTAATTGCATTTCAATTAACCCTTTCAGGGTTTCGGACGTACTAGTATGGTTTACGCACCAGGGTTTTTGACGTAATAGTACACCTAAATTCTAGCGCCCTCAAATCTAGTGAGAGAAAGCTGGTAGGCCTACATATGAAAGAATGGGTCTATGTGGTCAGTGTGCGCAGTATAAAAAAAATCTTGCAGCACACAGTGCGTAATGAGAAAAAAAAAACTGACCATGTTTTTGGATTAAAACAGCGACTTTGCACTGTATTTTCGTATGGTATTTATTGTTGTATTCTAGTTTTCCTGGTCTCATTTTATAGAATGGAAGACATATTACAGAAATTTAGATGATTTTGACTGGTTTTTACAATGAAAAGTACCTTGAAATTGAGCTCAAAGTAGCAGAAATGTTCGATTTTTGCCAAAGTTCAAAAGTAAACAAATCATGCTAAGCATCCAATACACATCAACTAGCGAGTCTAATATTCTTTCACAAGTGCGCCGATATTATTTATACTATTTCTACACCAATGCAGTAGTCTGCATAACAGTAAATCTTCTATTTTTTTGTGAGAATAAAAATTCAAAGTGGAAAGCAAAAGAATGTAAGAGGGGTATGGGGACGTGACTAATGAACAGATGAAATGTTATTTTAGTGCCAGGAATGTCTTTCTTGTTTATTCTGGACCCTATTTGGAAATTGGCATCTTTTGAAATTTGTGTGAAATTTGTAAAATTGCTAAATTCTGACCGCCGTATTGGATAGCTGAAATCGGTAAATGAGTGGTTTCTTGTACTCATTCGATAGAAAAAAATGGAGTTCTAGCGAAACAGTTATGAATTTTGTCGACTAGTACACTGGAATTGGCCGAAAATAGGGCTCAAAGTGGGCAAAATCGCCGATGTGTAAACATCATCGAGACCGCTAACTTCGCGAGAGCATAATTCCGTATGTTTTCCATCAAATTTCATACTTTTGGTGTCATTATGATCGGGAAAAGATTCTCTATCTTTTCATAAGAAAAAATAAAAAATTTTTTTTTTTTTGAAATTTGGGTGACCCTGAGAACAAGTCTGGGACCCTGAAAGAGTTAATTTAAAAGAGGAAAATTGACTCTGCAAGTAAGCAAATCCAGTTGCAAGCAAGGCCATGGAACGGATTAAACTCGCAAGTAGAGGTTCCACTGTACTGTATGGAGAATTCGCAGTGTAGAAATTAGGACGAGGTGTGGAGTTACTGAAAGTATTATTCAGAGGGCTGAAGAGGGGTTGTTGAGGTGGTTTGGTCATTTAGAGAGCATGGAGCATAATAGGATGACTTGGAGGGTGTATATATCTGTATTGGAGGGGAGGAGGGATAGGGGTAGTCCTAGGAAAGGATGGTGGGTAAAAGACCTTCTGTGTGCAAGGGGCCTGGACATACAGCAGGCATGTATGAGTGTTAGAAAGGAGTGAATGGAAATGAATGGTTTTGGGGACCTGACAAGATGTTGGAGTGTGAGCACGGTAATATTTTGTGAAGGGATTCAAGGAAACCAGTTAGCCAGACTCGAGTCCTGGAGGTGGGAATTACAATACCTACACTTTAAAGGAGGAGTTTGGGATATTGACTGTTTGGAGTGCCATCTAAACTGTTGTATCTGAGTGCTTCTGCAAAGACATTGTGTGTGAATGAGGGTGAAAGTCCTAGGTAGTAGGTTGGTAGACAGCAACCGCCCAGGGAGGTACTGCAGTCCTGCTAAGCGAGTGTAAAATGGAAGCATGTACTTGTTTTACACGATGGTAGGATTGCTGGTGTCTTTTCTCTGTCTCATAAACATGCAAGATTTCAGGTATGTCTTGCTACTTCTACTTACACTTAGGTCACACTACACATATGCTTGTACATGTATGTGTAGTGTACATGTATGTACTAGCTCTTGTTCTTGTTTATTTCCTCTTATCTCCATGGGGAAGTGGAACAGAATTCTTCCTCCGTAAGCAGCAACTACAATGCCAGGAGCAAGGGGCTTGTAACCCTTTCTCCTGTATAAATTACAAAATTTAGAAAGAGAAACTTTCGTTTTTCTTTTTGGGCCAACCTGCCTCTGTGGGATGCGGAAGGTTTGTTGAAAGAAAGAAAAGAGGGTGAAAGTGCTGAATGATGGTGAGTGTTTCTTTTTTTTTTTTTTGGGGGGGTCACCCTGCCTTGGTGAGAGATGGCTGAAGTGTTGAAAAAAAAAAAAAACTTTTTCTTTCACTTACCTGACGGTGTAACGATTGCTCTGAGTTTTTGGAGTGTGCAGACCCAACACTTGGATTGCTGTCAGAATCTGTGTCTCGTCGAGAGTCATACATGGAGAAGGGCGTGTCTCGTCCATTTGCCTGGGAATTAATTTATATAGTTCATCAAAAAATTTAGTAAATATTAAAGACGTACTAGAGAATTTGCCATTGCTGATATAGAGTTAGTATTTCCAGCTCTCCGCTTTCTTTTGTAACCTGCTACCAGACCATTTAGTCATGAACAAAACACAAAAAACAAGTATCTGATTTAGAACGTAATCTCATGCATTACTTTTCAACACTATGATACACAAGGGTTCTTATAAGCTGAATATCAAAGGTTAACCATTTTTGTTTAAGGGAAGATTTTAAAAATAATTAAAAATAAAAGAGAAATAACTGTTCTTGTCCTATCATAAAGGTAATGTTATGAGGATCCTGACAGTCTCTTGTTATTGCATAAATTCCATTACATTTAATATATCATAGTAATTTATGTTTACCACAAGACTAAACAGGATTTAACCACATTAGGGTAATCAAGCGTATTGTTCCTATTCTCCTATCCCTGGTGTGAAGGATGAAGTGTGGCTTAATGGCGAAAGGTCTGCTTATTCCATGTCACTACCAAACATTTGGACCAATTTCAAAATATACAGTTTAAAATATTTTATTTTAAATATAATATTGCACACATTAACAAGACTAACAACATAATTCTGATTAAAAAAAAAAAGTAACAAAATTGCCATTTTTATTACTTGTACTTACTTTTTAGCCTTATTATCTTCAATGCAAAAACCTCTCAAAAAAATTGTGTAAGACGAAGAGGATACCATAAAACAGTGATAGTGCAGAATTTTTTGACTAAAAAAAAAATAAATGCTTACTTGAAGCATTCCAAGTTCCATAATATGTTTAGACGATGAGAACGATGCTGTCATTGGGTCTAGGACACATCGCTTCTTGTTCTCGGGACTCAGTTGCCGAGGGCTTCCCTGAGAAGTAGGACTAAGGTCTAGCGCACGCTTCTCCCCACCCCCACTCGTGGTGCCATTACTACTGCAGTTCTGACCATCTTCCATGTAATCCCTGTAAGAGTTACATCCAATATTAAAAGTAAGCTGGAATACAACTGTGGAGCGGATGATGCATTTGTTCAATATATGTATGCAAAAGGGGGAGGGGGGGGGAAGATACCTAGTTCCATTTTATATGGAAAAAGGGGATAAGAGAGAGTAAGAATTATAGGGAAATAAGCTTTTTGAGTAGACAGCAGCTACAGTTTTGCCAAATGGAAGGATATGTAAAAGAAGGAAATTAAAAGTGAACATAGGAAATGGCAAAGTGATGGGTGTAACAAAAAATTTAGGTAATGAAAGACTGGATATTAGATTGGAGGGAGTATAGAGGAAGTGAATGTGTTCAGATATTTGGGAGTGGACTTGTCAGCAGATGGTTCGATGAAAGACAAGGTGAACTATAGAACTGACAAGGGGAAAAAAGATGAGTGGTGCACTGAGGTGTCTGTGGAGACAAAGAATACACATAGAATGTTATCCATGAAGGCAAAATGGGAAATGTATGAGAATATTGTGGTGCCAATGCTCTTACATAGGTGTGAAGCATGGGCTATGAATGTTCCAGCAAGGAGGCTGGAGACAGTGGCAATGTCATGTCTGAGGGAAATGTGTGGTGTGAATATTATGCAGAGAACACGTAGCTAGGAGATTAAGAGGTGCAGGATTACTAAAAGTATTATCCAGAGGACTGAGGTGGTATGGACATTCAGAGAGGATGGAACAAAATAGGATGACTTGGAGGGCGTATAAAACTGGAGTAGAGGGAAGGTTGGGTTGGGGTCGTCCTAAAAATGGTTGGAGGTAGGGGATAAAAGAGGTTGTGTGTGCAAGGGGCTTAGACATCCAGCAAGCATGTGCAAGTGTGTTAGTTAGAAGCAAGTGGAGGCAAGTATTTTTTATGATATGACATGCTGTTGGAATGTTAGCATGCAACATTTATGAAGGGATTCATGGAAACTGGTTAGATGGAGATGGGAAGTACAGTGCCTGCACTCTGAAGGAGGGGTGGGGATATCTGCACTTTTGAATTGTAGTATTGGCGCACCTCTGGCAAGACAGTAGAGTGAGTGGGAGTGAAAGTGTTTATTCTTTTTGGGCCACCCTACCTTGGTGGGAAATGGCTGCTATGTTAAAAAAAATATAAAACTGAATAACTTATGATTTTTATCTGGGAAGGGAATGAAAGAAATTTTAGAGGGAGGTTAAGCCCCCATCCTTGACACTACCATTGGAAATGTCAATAAAAGAATTAAGCTAAACCAGTTAATCATACCAGAGCTCTTTAGGTAGGAAGTACAATGCCCACACTCAAAATGATAAATGGGACTGTTTGGTGGGTCATTTCATTTGTGATGTGCCTCTAGAAAGATTGGGGAATGAGTTAAATATGTTTCCCTCAATAAGTCACCCTAACTTGGAGGAAAATGGTTGAAGTGTTAACCCTTAAACTGTCTAAACATAGATCTACGTTTGCGCACGCGTAGCGCTCTGACCTCGATTTTCTCCATAAGAAACAATGTAAAAAAAAAAAGTAGATCTACGTTTAGGGTGCTACGCGAGCAAACGTAGATCTACGTTTGGACAGTTTAAGGGTTAAAAATAACTTACCTAGAATAGTTGATGGGCATGGAAGACGACACAATGGTGCCTGTGGTGGTACACTTTTGTCTCTTGCTCAAGTCTTCTGGTTCCTGCAAATAAAGAATGAAATTTTTTTATAGTTATTATAACTTTTGAACACAATCTTTGAAAACACTAATTCAATATAGCTAAACCTGGCAATTCATACTCAGTTGGCAATATCAGAACTGTATGCATGTTTATATTAGTTTATTTTTTTTTATTAACACACTGGCCGATTCCCATCAAGGCAGGGTGGTCCGAAAAAGAAAAACTTTCACCATCATTCACTCCATCACTGTCTTGCCAGAAGGGTGCTTTACACTACAGTTTTTAAACTGCAGCATTAACATCCCTCCTTTATATTAGTTATTCTGAAAAATTCCTAAGGTCAAATTTCGTATCACAAATTTTATGCTAGTTACTGGAAAAACATGGTTACAATTAAAATACCTAACAAAAATCAACACAAGTAGAGAAGACAACAAACCACTAGTTAACCTTATTTAAAACGAATATCCCCATATGGAGGCAAAGAAGGGAATGTATGAAAGTATAGTGGTACCAACACTCTTATATGGGTGTGAAGCTTGGGTTCTAAATGCTGCAGCGAGGAGGCGGTTGGAGGCAGTGGAGATGTCCTGCCTAAGGGCAATGTGTGGTGTAAATATTATGCAGAAAATTCGGTGTGGAAATTAGGAGGTGTGGAGTTCATAAAAGTATTAGTCAGAGGGCTGAAGAGGGGTTACAGAGGTGGTTTGGTCATTTAGGGAGAATGGATCAAAGTAGAATGACATGGAGAGCGTATAAATCTGTATGGGAAGGAAGGCGGGGTAGGGGTTGTCCTCGAAAGGGTTAGAGGGAGGGGGTAAAGGAGGTTTTGTGGGCGAGGGGCTTGGACTTCCAGCAAGCGTGAGCGTGTTAGGTAGGAGTGAATGGAGACGAATGGTATTTGGGACCTGACAAGCTGTTGGAGTGTGAGCAGGGTAATATTTAGTGAAACCGGTTATTTTATATAGCCGGACTCGAGTCCTGGAAATGGGAAGTACAATGCCTGCACTTTAAAGGAGGGGTTTGGGATATTGGCAGTTTGGAGGGATATGTTGTGTATCTTTATACGTATATACTTCTAAACTGTTGTATTCTGAGCACCTCTGCAAAAACAGTGATTATGTGTGAGTGAGGTGAAAGTGTTGAATGATGATGAAAGTATTTTCTTTTTGGGGATTTTCTTTCTTTTTGGGTCACCCTGCCTCGGTGGGAGATGGCAGACTTGTTAAAAAAAAAAAAAATCATCACTACAGAAAAAAATCACGGTTTCAAATGTAATTGTTTATTAAAACAGTATATGTAATATTTGTTCTCTTTTTCGGGTCACCCTGCCTCGGTGGGAGACAGCCAGCATAAAAAAATATACAATTATCAGGTTGACTAGGCTCCTAACCTCTAACACTTACGACAATGCTTAGGAAGATTTCCCACAAATGCACTTTATTCTTAACGACAAACTAGGGACACTTCACTAGATTTGGAATTCAGCTTGAAGCATGTTTGTCCCTCAAATGCATTAGGATGAATGCTCATGGAATATACACATATTCATCTCTAAATATACTACTTGAGAGGCTATAAATTGCATGAGTATAAATACTCATGCAATTTCTACTTAATACCAGCTTTCTTTTCCTGATTTTTAACAAGGTAGAGTGTAAAATCCGTATGAGGCCATACAAAAGACAAGATCCATCTTTCTTCTTTCTTTCAACACACCAGCTGTGCCCCACCAAGGTGGGGTGGCCCAAAAGAAAAAAACGAAAGTTTCTCCTTTGAACCCTTTCAGGGTTGCCAGGCCCTAACATAAGAACATAAGAAAGGAGGAACACTGCAGCAGGCCTGTTGGCCCATACTAGGCAGGTCCTTTACAATCCATCCCACTAACAAAACATTTGCCAACCAATTTTCAATGCCACCCAAGAAATAAGCTGTTAACCCTATCCACTCATATACAAATCCCACTCAAATCCAACCCCTCTCACTCATGCATTTATCCAACCTAAATTTGAAACTACCTAAGGTTTTAGCCTCAATAACCCAACTAGGTAGACTGTTCCACTCATCAACTACCCTATTTCCAAACCAATACATACTCTCCTATATCCTTTCTAAATCTAAACTTGTCTAATTTGAATTCATTACTGCGGGTTCTCTCTTGGAGAGATATCCTCAAGACCTTATCTATATCACCTTTATTAATACCCATCTTCCACTTATACACTTCGATCATGTCTCCCCTCATTCTTCGTCTAACAAGTGAATGTAATTTAAGGGTCTTCAATCTTTCTTCATAAGGAAGATTTCTAATGCTATGTATTAATTTAGTCATTCTACGCTGAATGTTTTCTAACGAATTTGTCTATTCTGTAATACGGAGACCAGAACTGGGCTGCATAATCTAGGCGAGGCCTTACTAATGATGTATAAAGCTGTAATATAACCGCTGAACTTCTGTTGCTTACACTTCTTGATATACATAAATCCCAGTAATCTGTTTGCCTTATTACGTACGCTTAGGCATTGCTATCTTGGTTTAAGGTTACTGCTTACCATAACCCCCAAGTCCTTTTCACAATCTGTATGGCTAAGTTCTACATTATTTAACTTATAAGTGCTAGGATTATGGACACTCCTGAGCTTCAGAACCTTGCATTTATCTACACTGAACTGCATCTGCCACTTTGCTGACCAGGTATTGAGTTTGTCTAAATCCTCCTGAAGTTTCCTAATATCTACGTTTGAATCAATCATCCAACATATCTTTGTGTCATCAGCGAATTTACTCATTTCACTAGTAATTCCCTCATCAAGATCATTGATATATATTATAAACAACGGGCCCAAGACTGATCCCTGTGGAACTCCACTTGTTACAGATTCCCACTCGGATTTAACCCCATTTATGGACACACACTGCTTCCTGTCTGTGAGCCATAACTCGATCCATGAGAGCACTTCCGGGACTTGTTCTCAGGGTCACCAAATTAAAAAAAAAATTATTTTTTTTCTTTTGAAAAGATAGAGAATCTTTTCCCAATCATAATGACACCAAAAGTATAAAATTTTATGGAAAACTTACGGAATTATGCTCTCGCGAACTTAGCGGTCTCGACGATGTTTGCGCATCGGCGATTTTGCCCACTTTGAGCCCTATTTTCTGCCAATTCCAGTGTACTAGTCGACAAAAATCATAACTATTTCGCTAGAACTCCATTTTTTCTATCGAATGAGTACAAGAAACTACCCATTTACCGATTTCAACTATCCAATAAAGTGGTCAGAATTTAGCAATTTTGCAATTTCACACAAATTTCAAAAGATGCCAATTTCCGAATAGGGTCCAGAATAAACAAGAAAGACATTCCTGGCACTAAAGTAAGTTCTCTGTTCGTTAGTCACATCCCCAGGCCCCTCTTATATTTCTTTGGCTTTCCACTTTGAATTTTTATTCTTACAAAAAATAGATTTATTGTTATGTAGACTACTGCATTAGTGTAGAAATGGTATAAATAATATCAGCACACTTGTGAAAGAATATTAGACTCACCAGTTGACATGTATTGGACACTTGGCATGATTTGTTTTCTTTTGAACTTTGGTAAAAACTGAACATTTCTGCTAATTTGAGCTCAATTTCAAGGTACTTTTTGTTGTAAAACCAGTCAAAATCATCTCAAATTCTGTAATGTGTCTTCCATTTTATAAAATGAGACCAGGAAAACTAGAATACAACAATAAATACCATATGAAAATACAGTGCAAATTTGCTATTTTAATCCAAAAACATTGTCAAAGTTTTTTTTTCTCATTACGCACTGTGTGCAGCAGGATTTTTTTTTATACTGCGCACACTGACCACATAGACCCATTCTTTCATATGTAGGCATACCAACTTTCTCTCACTAGACTTGAGGGCGCTAAAATTTAGGCGTACTAGTACGTCAAAAACCTTGGTGCGTAAACCGTACTAGTGCGTCTGAAACCCTGAAAGGGTTAAATTTAGTAATATATACAAGAGAAGGGGTTACTAGCCCCTTGTTCCCAGCACTTTAGTCACCTCTTACGACACACACGGCTTATGGAGGAAGAATTCTGTTTCACTTCCATATGCATATGAAGTATAGTAGACCATTATTTAGAATGCAATTACACTGCACAAGACTGATATAGCATAACTGAGAACCTACTGTAGAAATTATACAGTATGGATAAAAGGAGATAGGTATTGAATGGCCTGTAAAGCAGAAAAAGATCAATATAATGTGCAGTAGTGGAAATGCCCCCACGTGGATTCTCCCCCCCTCCCTTCCACAATGGTCCTATGAGTAAACATAGTTATTTTCTTTCGAGAGAAGCCATCCCATCTCCATTTGCACTGCCACTCAAGTCACCAGTTGCTTCTGAAAGTATCCCAAATAGAAGTGACTGTGTTCTTCAATTGATTTTGGAATTTTTTTTTTTTACCGTGCCTTATGTCCAGATATTAACCCGTAAACGGTCCAAACGTATATATACGTTTTTTCAACATTTGAAAGTATGTAAAAAAAGTAGATCTTTTTTGTTTTTTTACATTTGAAAATGTGTAAAAAAAACGTAGATCTACTTTTGTAGCACTACACATGTGAACGTAGATCTGCTTGGACCATTTACGGGTTAACTAAGGCACCAAAGAGGAATACTGGGTATGCAGGTGGTGCCAAGAAGTGTGAATATTTGACATAATTGAAGAAAGTGTTAATTCTAGATAAGCGTGGAGGTGGTGCAGTGTGATGTCTCACTCTGTTTATCATGCCATCTCTTCTCTGGATATTAACATGGCACTCAGGAAGATATACTAGTGATGAAGACAGTACCAGGAAGTGCGAACCTAACAGTTTAAGGTAAGATATAGCTGTTGTTTTACATTTTAAGCTATATAACTTTACCTCTGATATACAGAACCTCACAAGGGTTTTGACAGTTTTCCTACTTTTGTAGCCCAGCCCAGGGCTAGGTTTGTCTGGTGCTTGCCTGATCAACAAGGCCTGGTCTCAGACAAGGCTGCAGGGGCGTTGACCCCCGAAACCTTCTTCAGGTAACTAAGCTGTTACTGCTGGCCCACATATTTAGCACAGCCTGGTTGACCTGGCTTTTTTGAAGGTCTCAAGAACGTAATTCCATTTTCTCCATATTATCTTTGGATTAATAAGCACTATTTATATTAAACAACCAATTTTCAAGACTAACTCATTCTAATTAATGATGTCTTATATAAAATCAACACTTTAAAAAGCCTGTAATTCACATATGACAAAGTTACTTACTATATAACAAGATCCTCTTTTGATGCCCTTGCCAACCTGAGCTTGCTGTAGAGCTGCAACCACTGCCTGAACACTAGTTGGGTCACGCGCACATTCACTGGATGAGCTGCTTGGCTCTAGTACTGACGCTACTGAACGAATATCTGGCATCCTGTTAGAACAAATGTTAATGGTTCAATCAAATTACTTACTGTACAAGTAACAGCAAAGCTTTATATCAGAGAAATTTATCAAAACATTCTCATTTTTTATTTATCTGTGTTATACCTGTGATGGGTTTCAAGGGCTCTTATACTCCCCAAGCTAAATTTGAATGACCCCCTGGTAGACCAGGATGTCTGTGGGCCAGTAGCATGCTGGCCCACAAAACTTCCACAATCTGGTTGATCCATAGCTTGTAAAAGGTAGCACTCTCGCTTCTTGAAAACCTTCTATCTTTATTTTGGCATTATTTTAAATATACTATATGCTGGTATAGATGAATGACACTGTATAGCTTAAGCTATACAGTGTCATTCATCTATACATTTTTGGTTAGAAGTTACTCACCAATTTTTTGGTGAAAAATGTCTTAGGTGTTATACTAAATTTTCTTCAAAAAATGCAGAATATTGTAGCCAGTTTTCATAACCCATATATATTTCAACACAAAACTAACACACAAACATCATTATATAAGTATGAATGTTTTAGCTCCCTATAATTATAGCATTTATTTTTCACATTTAGTGAAACAGCTTATTTTAATTGCATGCAGAAATAACTGCCCTATCAAGTATTCTTCAATAAATGTAAATTATCCCATAAAGTTCGTACCATTATATTTAGTGATCAAAAACCATTATATCTAGGAGACTACATTTTTTTAAAAGATTTATATATGTACAGTCCATCCTTCCCTTGCTTTATGCAAATTCACTATTATGTAACATCCTATATCTATTGGTAAGTCTGTGTAACTGGTGATGTCTGCAGTGTGTTGTGATTTTTTTTACGTGATATTAAAGTGCTGATAGTCCAACTGAACTTAATATAGCTGCCATGAACCTGGAATGTATTTATCACAAAGTATAAAACACCTCGTACTAACAAATCTAAATGTCCCCCAAAGTCTATAGAAAATATGTGCAGAAAAAATGGAACTCATGTTTGTATCTGAATCAAAATGACAAACAGGCAAATGAGGAAAACCAAGTGTCCCAAAATATAATACTACCAAGACTGGCACAAAAATTTCCAGATACTGCATTAGTTTGTGTGTACACACAGGGTTTACCATGGGTGTGATGTTGATTCAGCTATGTCTGGCTCAGGTATGAGCATTTGCAAATGGTAGATGGCACTATATCTGGTGTGGGGGAAGCTAGTATGTGGCTCTCAGATATACACTGTAAACAGGCTTCACTGATTTCAGGTAATATGAGGTACAATAACATTCAAGTGATAGAATTTGCTGCCATGGAACTTGCTTATGCTAGGGGTGTACAGTACTGTAACTGATTATAAAAATTTGGTCCAATACTAGTAATAAAGATGCTGCTTTATACTTACCTCGGTGTAGTAGAGGTAAGAAAATCTGAAGAAAGAGTTGAAGAGAAAGTTGACGATGATGAACGGCCTAATGGAAGAAGTGGTGTGGTAGGAGTTCTTCGTGGCGTTAAAACTGTTTTTGTTCTGCCACCTAAACAGACATTTGGAAGGACCCCAGCACGGACAAACTTCTCTTGGGCTGTATGGTAAAAATAGTTAATTAAATGCCTTGCCTATATATTAGTATGAACGTTAAAGCTACTAGGGTAAAAACCTCAATAATCCTAGATTCTTAACTCTTAAACTTCAGGTCATGCATTGATAGTTACCCCATGTGGAGAAATTTCAATGAAAAAAATAGTTTGAAAGAGCATATGCATTTTCTTGAGATAAAAAAAAATTGACTCCAAATCATGATTTTTTTCAATATTTTTGTTTCCAATGTCTAACTTTCTCATGAAATTAGACAAGTTTCAAGGTGTTTTATTATTCAGAACATGTGGCACAAGAACTAGTGCTGCAAAGTAAAGAAATACCCCTGCAACTGCTGTGTATATCCAGTGTCAAAGCTGAGATTTTGCTGAAACAACTGTCTTAGCCAAAGTTTACTGGTAGTAACTATTTGAGCCACAATAATTTTCAAAAGTGCCACATCAAAAATTACTTGGAAATAATGAAATTAATTAGAATCACAAGTTTTAATTTGAGGGTTATGGACATAGAATACAAATACAGTTTTTTTTTTTTTTTACAATGATCTTGAGGGCAGATAAGTGTTACGGACACACAAAGCACACACTATGTTTATTTAAGCTAGGATAAGCCAAAAGCAATACGACTTACTGGCCCATCCGTTAGTGAGCAATTTAACTAAATTTCATTGCTAAAATAAACTTTTTTTAAGTACCCTCAACATGGAAAAAAAAGCTGCAGCTCTAAATCGAGGAAAAAAATTATAAATTTATAGTGCTAGAAAGTTTTTCTATAATGAATGGTAAAATAACTGGATACAAGGGAAGGTAGGAAATGCTCTTTATTTTCTAAAATTTATGAATAATTAAATGCTGAAGATGGGACACCAAAAGTGTAGCTCTACCACTTTTGCTACATATAAGGAAGCATAGCTAGATGAATACTCTTACACCAGAGTATAGCCTTGTTCCCTTTTCACTACAAACAAGCACATCACACATATTGGTGTAAAAAAAAAAAGGCCTGATCTTCAAATAAAAAATTTTTAATCCTTTAACTTCTGCATTCTACCACCGATGTTCCTAGTTTAGAAACAAAACCCGGTTCTCGTCAAACCTGTTGGATATTGCCTTCGACTTTCCGCAGGGCTCCTGTGGTTCAGAGCTTGAGCTTGAGCCTCCCTCACCACACGGCTGGCAAAGCCTGGGCTCACCACCTCTGCAGCAAAGCTGAAATTAGACAAAAATTTTAAATAGTTAATAATCTGTAAATTTCTATGGATTCCTATTACATCAGAAAGACTGCTTTGTCAATATCATTTTTACAGTACATGATATGTAACACAAGAACAACACATCTAAAATATTTTAATTTTCATTAAGGAATTTTAAATGTATATGTACACTCTGTATACAAGCAAGGCAAGAAGTGAAAAAATAGGTACCATATACAGTATACCTGGAGAGGGTTTTGGGGGTCAACGCTCCCGTAGCCTAGTCTGTGACCAGGCCTCATGGTGGATCAGGGCTTGATGAACCATTCTGTTACTGTTGGCTGCATGCAACCCAACGTACGAACCACAGCCCGGCTGGTCAGGTACTGACCAGGTGCCTGTCCAATGCCTTCTTGAAGACAGCTAGAGGTCTATTGGTAATCCCCCTTATGTATGCTGGGAGGCAGCTGAACAGTCTTGGGCCCCTGACACTTACTGTGTTGTCTCTTATTGTGCTAGTGACACCCCTGCTTTTCAATGCCAAGTCTTTTGCTTTAATAGGAAGTGATTTTTGTTTGCAAGTTTGGTACTAATCCCTCTAGGATTTTCCAAGTGTACATAATTATGTATCTCTCCCGCCTGTGTTCTAGGGAGTACAGGTTGAGGAACTTCAAGCATTCCCAGTAATTGAGGTGTTTTATGGCAGTTTTGTGTGCCATGAATGCTCTCTACACACTTTCTAGGTCAGCAATTTCACCTGCCTTGAAAGGTGCTGTTAGTGTGCAGCAATATTCCAGCCTAGATGGAACAAGTGACCTGAAGAGTGTCATCATGGGCTTTGCATCCCTAGTTTTGAAGGTTCTCCTTATCCATCCTGTCATTTTTCTAGCAGATGTGATTGATACAATGTTATGGTTTTTGAAGGTGAGATCCTCTGACATGATCACTCCCAGGTCTTGTACATTATTTTTTTGCTCTATTGTGTGGTTGTTATTTGTTTTATACTCCGATATAGTCTTAATTTCCTCACGTAAGTATAGTTACATTATGGTAGCTACTATAATTCTTTTATAATGGAAGACAATAGCATAGTAACTTAATTTTTGAAGACCTTTTGATTTTTCTTAAGACTCTGAGCTCTGAACATGAAAATTATTGAACACAACAAAAGACACATTACTGTCCAGGCAGTAAGATTTTTTGCCTCCAAGTTTCAATGGAATTTAAGATTCATTTGTATAACCTATACCATTATTGCATACTTCACAAATTGTGTTATATTTTCCCCCTCTGGACCAAGAAAAATTATGTGAATGCCAGTGAACTCACTAATATTCCTAAGTTACCACAAGTCTCCAATATTTTCTCACTGGCGAGGAATGCTTCCATACATATATTTAGTAAAATTAATGGCAAACACTGGCCTACCATAACCTAAAGTAAATCTACATTATATATGCTGTTAGATAACTCTTATATTTTAAGTCACCAAACCCAAAGAAAATAAGTAACTGGATAACCCCCCTTTTGGGGGTTTATCCAAGTAATTTACACATGCATGATAATTGTACTTACATGTATCTGTACCTAAATAAAGTTACTTCCTGACATTGGTAAATTTAAAATGTAGTGATTTCTTTAAATAACAATTATGGTAGACCCTGGCACTATTAAAAGAGCAACCCAAATAATTAATATATAAATATGCACATAAAAAATGTAACAGCTATGGAAAAAAAAAATACCATGTGATCTTACCTTAAGTCATTCCAAGGAACATTCTGCTTGGATGCTGTGGAGGAGAGATTACGGTCGAGCAGCAGTCTCTGCTGCAGTGCCGTGGGGGTATGTGCCGGTGCAGGGGTCCTAGGGGTCAGTGTGTGGCCCCAGGGAGAGCTGACCACTGGGGACACCTTGGGTGAAGCTCCTGCTGGGAACTGACTCTGACCATTGATTAAAGAATTTTCCTTGGAGGAGTCTTCATCACTGGCGGCGTCGCCAGTGATGTCCACACCGGCCTTACTGGCCAGGTAGTCACACGCTGAGCGAAACATGGCGACCCACGAGCCTCCCTGCTGTTAGAGATTTCTCTATATCAACTCATGACAGGAAACGTTTATTTCAACCTAGAGATGACAGACTTTACCTGTCACCTTCACTTGTCTCCCACAGTGTCACTCCCCCGCGCTATCTCCTGGCTGCCTCGCTCACAACGTTCTCAGGGTCTTCCACAAGGATATCAGACCGCCTTGATAAGCCCATGTCACGTAACTACAACTCAGGGAGTAAAATTATCACAGGCATGTTCAAAATTGTTTACCTATCTGGGGTACTTGCGGGTGCGGCCACCAGACGGCGGCGGCGGCGCTCACACATGAACATCACCTTGCGAAAGCTTCTCGAAGGTATTTCCTGCCATTAATAATGTATTTTAAACCTAATACTCTTATAATGATGTATAAAATAAGTATTTTTCAATGTATAACATTTTTATATCAATAGAAGTAATGTATAAATACTGCAACACGTGTACAGATATTGCTAATTGTACATAAAATTGCTTAAAAAGGAGATATATAATATATTAAATATACATAAATATTATAAACTATTTATTATATTACACTTATTCTCTAAAAACAATCTCATAAGTAATCAGGTATCTCTTATTTAGTCTATACCAAATGCTACACGCGCTTATCGTCTGCTGTTTTCAACCAACATCATCAGAAATTAAGCGTTTTTATTTTTTCAAATATACATTTTCTAGAAGGTATATTTCGAGTCGTCATACGCAGCTGTACGTCCACGTAATGTGTTTCCGGTGGAGTGACATTAGTTAGTTTTCTCGGCTTATTACTGAGGCTACACAACCCGCCGGAAACGTTTGTACCGGCGGAGACTATCGTTATTCTTCCGCTCTTATTTCAACGGAAACATATATATTTAACATGAGAAATGTCGTATTTTCGTGATTTTTATGTAAGTATGGTTGCGGTTTTTATTATTATTAGACACAAGGCAGTGGGGGGGGGCACCTCCGGGCAGATCCGGGATGGTAATATAGATCCTGACTGAGAGAGAGAGAGAGAGAGAGAGAGAGAGAGAGAGAGAGAGGAGAGAGAGAGAGAGAGAGAGAGAGAGAGAGAGAGAGAGAGAGAAGAGAGAGAGAGAGAAAGAGAGAGAGAGAGAGAGAGGAGAGAGAGGAGAGAGAGAGAGAGAGGAGAGAGGAGAGAGAGAGAGAGAGAGAGAGAGAGAGAGAGAGAGAGAGAAAGAGAGAGAGAGAGAGAGAGAGAGAGAGTTTACAGTTTACAGCAAACCCAGACTGTAAATATTGCACAACTAACCAGACAATATTCAGTAGCAACAATAACATCTCAATATTCAACTACAATACCAGATCCCTTAGTAATTTAAATTATGATGACATCACAGCACTCCTTGACTCACTAAATGCTAATCCTGGAGTTTACGTGGAGTTTACCTGGAGAGAGTTCCGGGGGTCAACGCCCCCGCGGCCCGGTCTGTGACCAGGCCTCATGGTGGAACAAGGCCTGATCAACCAGGCTGTTACTGCTGGCTGCACGCAATCCAACGTACGAGCCACAGCCCGGCTGGTCAGGTACCGACTTTAGGTGCTTGTCCAGTGCCTGCTTGAAGATAGCCAGGGGTCTATTGGTAATCCCCCTTATGTATGCTGGGAGACAGTTGAGCAATCTCGGTCCCCTGACACTTATTGTGTTGTCTCTTAGCGTGCTAGTGACAACCCTGCTTTTCACTGGGGGGATGTTGCATCGTCTGCCGAGTCTTTTGCTTTCGGAGTGAGTGATTTTCGTGTGCAAGTTTGGTACTAGTCCCTCTAGGATTTTCCAGGTGTATATAATCATGTATCTCTCCCGCCTGTGTTCCAGGGAGTACAGGTTCAGGAACTTCAAGCGCTCCCAGTAATTGAGGTGTTTTATCTCCGTTATGCGCGCCGTGAAGGTTCTCTGTACATTTTCTAGGTCAGCAATTTCACCTGCCTTGAAAGGTGCTGTTAGTGTGCAGCAATATTCCAGCCTAGATAGAACAAGCAACCTGAAGAGTGTCATCATGGGCTTGGCATCACTAGTTTTGAAGGTTCTCATTATCCATCCTGTCATTTTTCTAGCAGATGCGATTGATACAATGTTATGGTCCTTGAAGGTGAGATCCTCCGACATGATCACTCCCAGGTCTTTGACGTTAGTTTTTCGCTCTATTGTGTGGCTGGAATTTGTTTTATACTCTGATGAAGTTTTAATTTCCTCATGTTTACCATATCGGAATAATTGAAATTTCTGATCGTTGAACTTCATATTGTTTTCTGCATCCCATTGAAAGATTTGGAAATATATAACTTTTTTATTTTTTTTGCGGGGTGGGGGGGGGGTTGGTTATCCTAGGTAATTTATACTATGTATGATAATAGTACTTATGTGTACCTGTGCCTAAATAGGCCTACTTACTCGTAGCTCGATTGCTAGCGCACTCAGCCCACACACTGAGGTCTGGGGATCGATCCCAGGTACGGCTGAAAAAACATTAGGACGTGTTTCCATAAGATACCTGCTCTGCATAACAAGGGGCTTTCTATATAGCAGTATGTCACTGATGTCAGCAAGGACTGTACACCTTGTACTTGTAGAAATAAAGATATTATTCCATCAGAAACCTGGCTGAAATATGACTTAATAGACATCTCTAGCTTACCTGGATACACAGCCATTCATAATGGGAAACTTAATCAAAATGGAAGTGGCACTGCAATAAACTATACCAGTGAGATATATATATATATATATTCTTCATGTACCAGAGGTTAACATGGACGCACGTGGCTTGGTTGATAGCGTCCCAGCTCACACACCAAGGGCTAGGGATTGATCCCACGAAGGTGACAAGTTGGGGCATGTTTCCTTACACATATTGCCTCTGTTCACCAAGCAGTAAGTATGTGTATCTGGGTGTTAGCTGACAGTCGTGGGTCGCATCATCCTATGCAATAATATTAAAATGCTTTGCATGACCAGCTAGGTCTGTAATAGCTATATAACGTACATGTAGAAATAAAGATTATTATTAGCAAAGAAAGGCACAATACCGTGACTGGAACGAGACACAAATAACCCGCACATAGAAAAGAGAAGCTTATGACCATTTACAAAGTAACACTGACGAAAGATAGGTAGGTAAGGTTTGTCAGGAAACAAGACAAGTGTTTCCTGACGCAAGTTTTAGTCATATGATGACCCGCCATTGGAGTTTTTGGTCTTCTGACAGAGGCCTTTCGCTGGCTTACCGGTCCACCCTTTTAAAAATTATGGTCATAATTATAACCACTGTTGTTATCTAACGAAAGACAGAGGGAGCCAGTATATATGGGCGAGCAGACAGGGACAGGACCAAGAGAGGTAGTAGTGGTAGAGATAAGCTGGAAATGAAGGTAGTAAAGTTGGAAAAGTGGGAAAAGGAGAATACCTGAAGGGACACAGGTGGACTGCTGGACACATGGATCTGAGGGAAGCCTCAAGATGGTAAGAGAGAGGAGGGGGTGTGGACCTTAAAGACGAACAACTGGCCTAGACCAATCTCGAACTTTGAAAAAAGTAATATATAAACAAATAAATGCATTTATTACTAAAAATGATATTCTTGACCCTTGACAGTTTGGATTCAGGCCAGGAAAAAATAATATTGATCATTGATGTCATCATTAATCTGATAGACTGCCTGTTTAACTCTAAAAAATAATGAATACCCAATGAGCCTCTTTACTGATCTACGAGAAGCATTTGACAGTGTAAGCCATAACATCTTGGTACTGAAACTAGAGTATCTTGTCTTTCCTTACGGAGGATATGACGCCTTAGCATGTCCGGAGTTTTCATATACAGGATATGACGTCCAGCATGACGAGTTTCTTAAACATTTCTATAGGAATTGTTTTTGGGTGATATCCACAACAGATTGGAGGGAGAGAGTATGGAGGAGGTGAACGTATTCAGATATTTGGGAGTGGACGTGTCAGCGGATGGGTCTATGAAAGATGAGGTGAATCATAGAATGATGAGGGAAAAAGATGTGAGTGGTGCACTTAGGAGTCTGTGGAGACAAAGAACTTTGTCCTTGGAGGCAAAGAGGGGAATGTATGAGAGTATAGTTTTACCAACGCTCTTATATGGGTGTGAAGCGTGGGTGATGAATTGTTGCAGCGAGGAGAAGGCTGGAGGCAGTGGAGATGTCATGTCTGAGGGCAATGTGTGGTGTGAATATAATGCAGAGAATTCGTAGTTTGGAAGTTAGGAGGAGGTGCGGGATTACCAAAACTGTTGTCCAGAGGGCTGAGGAAGGGTTGTTGAGGTGGTTCGGACATGTAGAGAGAATGGAGCGAAAAGAATGACTTCAAGAGTGTATCAGTCTGTAGGGGGAAGGAAGGCGGGGTAGGGGTCGGCCTAGGAAGGGTTGGAGGGAGGGGGTAAAGGAGGTTTTGTGTGCGAGGGGCTTGGACTTCCAGTAGGCATGCGTGAGCGTGTTTGATAGGAGTGAATGGAGACAAATGGTTTTTAATACTTGACGTGCTGTTGGAGTGTGAGCAAAGTAACATTTATGAAGGGATTCAGGGAAACCGGCAGGCCGGACTTGAGTCCTGGAGATGGGAAGTACAGTGCCTGCACTCTGAAGGAGGGGTGTTAATGTTGCAGTTTAAAAAACTGTAGTGTAAAGCACCTTCTGGCAAGACAGTGATGGAGTGAATGATGGTGAAAGTTTTTCTTTTTCGGGCCACCCTGCCTTGGTGGGAATCGGCCAGTGTGATAATAAAAAAATAAAAAATCCACAACAGTCAGCTAGCACAAAAGGTACCTAAGTTTTTTTTTATGCTAGATGTGTAGAGGCAACAAAGGGGAAAAAATTAACAAGACACGTGTACAATACCTGTGTGTTGCACTCCGATGTTGAGCAAATGTCTTAGTCATCAACTTGTCGGTTTTGCATACGGTGGCTAATGCTTTCGCTTCACACGGCACGTGTCCGGGTTCGATTCCCTGCGAGGGTAGAAACATTGGGCGTGTTTCCTTACACAGGTCGTCTATGTTCACCCACCAGTAAAATGGGAACCTGGGTGTTAGTAGACTGGTGTGGGTCGCATACTGGGATGAAAAAAAAACTGACCTAAGTTGCCCGAAATGCTCTGCGTAACAAGCGGCTTTATATATACATATAGTGTGTCATTGATCTAATCTAGGCCTGTATATCTTGCACATGTACCTGTAGAAATAAAGATATATTGGTATAATTTTGCTAAGTATTATGGTTATTTGGCTCTCCAGGAG